AAGCTTTATTTGTTCGCTCATTACTGTAATTTTAAACGTTTTAGAAGTTGATGATACGAATAATAAATTACAACAATACGTCAATTAATTACGTGATCGATTTTTTGAAGGAGAATGTTTTTGGAGTGAATAAAATTATGAGATTTGTGAACATAAATCTGGCTTAACGTTTTGAATGCGTTTTCTTCAACGTTTTACAAAACAATTAAATTGCAACAATAATGTATTTGTGTTTGTTTTTAGTCTGCAGCATTTGTGTTTCGAGAATGTTTCAAACTCTTCTAAATTGTGAAACATAATGTGTTGATTCCATTAAAAAAAATATTTGCCCTGTGACTGAGCTCACTAATATTCATAATTGTAAATAAGTTCTGTTAATCAATGAAGGAAAGATATGTAAATGATATGCAAATTATTATGCAAATTAGCCCCGGCGCTATGCATTTTTTCTGGGGAGAACCCTGATTATTACAGAACATTTGTTCAAATTTTGAGTTTCCAGGTCATGTTCAGGTCATGTTACTGAGCACGCTCACAAAAGAAATAGTTAGGTTTTACAACCATTCATTTATGGAACCCTGTTTGCCAAAGTTTTCTGTCGCTATTGTCTTTTGTTGCTATGTATAAAAAAATATCTGCCTGGAGCAGCATTTTCCTGCTGACCAGATGTGAATTAATGTAGACCTCCATACCACAGAATATCTTATTGAACTTATCCTTGTGAACAGTCATAACTGAATACTGTTGAATAATTTATTTTCGCTAGGAATTTATTTTCGAATGATTCAGTGAAAATAAAATCAAGCAAATATACCTTTTTTCCTATATTTCACATTCAACTCATCAAAAATCTGTGAAAACAAATTCCATACAAAACACCCAAAATTCAGCTAAAATAAAGTATTTTACAGTAGATCATTTTGACCCTGAGATATACTTGACATCCAATCCTCCGGGCGGACATCCGGGCATTTTCACCGCCTGGCAACCCGCAGGGGTGAAAACAAAGGCCTAAAACTCGCAGAAAACGGTACTTTGGGGTGATTGTTGAGACTCCTCTGAACAGTGTAACAAGATTAGCCTTACGTGTGTAACATATATAAATTTGATTGTTCAAAGTTGAGTTTGTGTTGTTTTCTCGAATTTTCACCGGCGTTCCACAGCAACGCGCTCAGAGCCCATAGAAATGCATGGTCCAGTGGTGCGCGTCTTAGCAACGTGGAACGTCTGTGACGTAGCTCCGCCCCCGAGGATACATGTATGTTGTGATTCATCTTGTGCATATTCATCTAGTCACTGTAATTCTGTGTTTATTACATGCTGTTTTTGGATCAGCCTTCTTTTAGCTCTGCTGTTGGCTTTGTCAAGCATAGCTTATCATACGAGTGATTTTCCGTGTCAACTTCTTACTTTTTCAACTTCTTCTTGAAAGCTACAAGCCTGAATGCTTTGATACTTGTGTATATGTACCTTAGGTAGACCTCTCTTAGATTTGTTCATTTTGTGATGATATCTTTAGTTATCTAATTTTGGTGAATATTTTTTGTTATTTTTGGTAAAAAGTGATATTTTCAACTTCTTGTTGAAAACCACAAGTCTGATTGCTTTGATACTATACATATTGTTCATTTTCTAATGATAACTTCTGTTTTTTAATTGTAATGTGCATTGCTAACTCAGCCAAGAGGCTGCTTGTTGTTTTTTTGGGACGGTTACTTGGCAATGGTGCAGCACCTTATCATGGTCATGAGTTTTAATCCTGTGTTTATGTGTCTGTATGTCCATAAATAAATCAAATTTGAAGTTGTTTCTAAAATTCATACATATTTCCCTTGTATATCTATAGATGGGCGACTGTAACAAAATAGAATGGTGTTTAGACTGGCTGGCTTACCAAGCAGGTACTTCTAATAAAATCACTAAAGTGTACGAACTGGAAGGTCTGGTCATGGATTTATTTGCACATGGTAGTAGTGGTTTCCCGTCTAAAAACCAGGCACATGATTTGTTGACAACATCTGTGTTTGACTATGAACGAAACACCAGGTAAAATTGTAAAGTACTAGTCGTAAGAATGGTAGTTGTTGCGTCAGACATGTCATTGGTCAATCCCCACCCTGGGGATTATTAGTTTTAAACTCAAATCTGTGCATATTTATTACCTATTTTGCATAATTAGTCAGTCTTCAACTTCTCCAATATAAATATCTCAACTACAAGTAATTGACTCCCGTGTGCGAAGCACAAGTCTTTGCAGTTAGTGTGTCTGTATGTGTGTGTGTGTGTGTGTGTGTGTGTGTGTGTGTGTTTGGATTGCTATATGTTGCGAGGACAAAAATACAGATATATACCTACTTCCGAGGACATACACACCTTCCGAGGACCTTTTTCATAGTCCTCGGAAAACATAATTTATATTAATAGTTAATTCGATTATTAATACGTTTTGCGTAGCTTAGG